ACTAACCGCTTGAGCTATGCTGCGGCCCTAGGAATATGGTTACATGGAACCAGACAGCTCATATCCCCATCTTGAGCCCATGGAATCCTTTCCACATCTTCAGAACTTGATTTAATAGATTCATTCTGTGCCCTGTATATACTCCTTGTATTCAAAATTGTAAATGTATTTTTATGAAAATGAAGTATCTGTGTGCTCATATTCAGTGTGTACATGCTTTAATCCGTTTTGTAGGGAACTGTTTGGTGAAGGGCTCAACTGGGCTGGTTGCACCATGATAGTGTTGTTGGGACAGCAGCGACGCTTTGAGGCGCTCGATTTCTGCTACCACATTCTACGTGTACAACGTGTAGATGGGAAAGATGAAAATGTTAAAGGAATTGTGAGTATGTTGAAATTTGTTGAGATATTGATATAAAGGTCATCTGCAGCTGATGTACTGACTTCTGTACTGTGGAGCTCATGTTCAAGACAAGCATACCCAGTATGTGCTTTACTGCATGAAAAGTAGTGTATAAACTCGATATTCAATTAACTCATCATGTGTTCCATGGATGGATCACTGTAATATTTTATTTTATCTATAGGCTCTGAAACGGATGGTGGATCGCATTCGTCGCTTCCAGGTGCTCAATTCACAGATTTTTGCAGTGCTCAACAAGTTCCTCAAATCAAGTGACTCTGATGTGATGGCAGTTGAGCATGTACGGTGTTTTCCTCCGCCACTTCATCCCACATTGGCAGCGCAGGCTCACTATTACCGGCCTGAACATCTCCGCCAGACTGTCCAGCCAGGAGTCGTGGGAAACTGACATGTGGGAGGTTTTGTCATTCACTGTATATAATATTAAAATATCATCTGCCTTTAACTATTTAATATTGCATTTCCATCTCTGTGAGATGAATGGTAATTACAAGACATTATCTGGCCATGTTTAAATTTGCTCCCACATATTAGGAATGTGCAGGTACAAATTCCTGAAACAAACTTGTTCCAATGAAGAAAGTTGTCTTCTGGGTTTAGGCACCGTGTATTCTT